AGCATCCTTGGTGCAGGAGGAGAGGAATCCGTACAAGTGTATGGTCAGCCATAGAAAATCTGCTCCCTTCTGGTCCTCTCTAGTAGATTTAGGGCCAGTTCACACAACGTGCGTTTCTTTCTGCATCCAAAATGCACAGAAAGTATGTTATATGGTTGTCAATGTCATAGTTCACATTGCTTGCAGTTCCAGTGCGTTCCGGGTGCAGGAAAAAAAGTCGAATATGCTGCAATTTTTGTGCACAGAACTGTACTGGAAACGCTGTGAAACGCATAAAAAACGGACATGTCCCTATTTAAATTGAAGAAAGGGGAAACAACTGGAATGCATCAAAAATGTGTCAAAATGCACCTGAATGCGTCAAGAACGCATCTGGACTGTATTTGTATTGTGTGAAGCGGCCCTTAGAGTGAAATCTACTCGCCCTTCCATGTAGGAGGGTGTGTGCCGACCAGTCAGTGATCGGGTTTCTGGCTTGGGGTGTCCTCAGCTTGCCTGTGACATACAACCACATAGGCTGTAAGCCTAGGTTCACATACTTGTGCACAGCAGGTGCGTACAGCTGCCCATTTATTTTCGGGAAAGAAGTCCCTGACGCTTTTTATAAAAATGGTGGCATCCGGAAATGTGTGGTGCTGCAGCACCATGAGGTTTGTGTGTGCTGATGCATGGGGGTGCCATTGAGAATGAATAGCATGCCTGCCCGTATGCTAAAAAGCAGGGAATTTCTGTGCAGTTCGGGAACATGTGCGATGATGTGCTCCCTACCCACTTGTATGCCAAACTAGCCTAAGGGCTTGTTCACACTAGTGTCGCTATCTGAAGAGCAATCTGCGTTCAGATCACTCTTCAGAGAGCATTTGACAGGCAGCGATGAGGTGTTGTATCACCACCTAGCCACCTGCTTTAATCCCTAGGATCCTGAACTAGCGATTGCAGAGTGGCTCCATTCACTTGAATAGTGGGTGTATTTCTAATGTGGTACTCAGAATCGTGGCCGTGGCATGTGTACACCCGTAGCCACTGCCTCTGCAGCTAGAGGGGGTGCAGTTGGGGAGCAGTAAAACTGCATTTCAGCTGCTGTGTTTTAGCCTAGGTTCACATATGTGTGGATGAGGAATGCATGTACAATGCCATTCTGTGCGACGCATTTTTAGAAAAGGTTCAGAGACTTACCTGCATTTCTTGTGGGTTTAGCAGCCCATTCAAATGAAAGGGCTGCTGTACCCACAAGGTGTCATCGCAGATCTGCACACACAACCCGAACATTTGCAAATCTACTGTTACTGCGAACAAACCCTAAGCTATACATTGATTGGACAGACAGAAATCTGTTACAGCCTGTGAGTCTACAGGATGCAGGCACAGAGCGTAACCACTTCCCGCTGGCCACATGCATACAGCATGTAAAATAAGTACCAAACACGTCACCATTTTTTCGGTAAATTTATTTCTAAGGCTACGTTCACACTAGCCGGCAGATAGGCATTTGGGAAGCATTTTTACCGCTTCCTAAACGCCTGGGAAAATTCTGTACATTGCAGCACATGGTGCTGTTCAAACGGGAGCGTTAGCGTTGCGGCAAAATGGACGCCTCTGGTCGAGTCAGGAGGAGTTGAAGCCTCCTATTCAAGTCTATGGTGCCTCTCCGCAAACGCCCGGCCGGCGTTTGCTGTGCGGTTGCAGGGCCATTCAAACTTCATTATACGCGCCTGTGGGGCGTTTGTAACGCTTGGCAAACGCCTAGCAACTCCGCTAAACCGCGCATGCGGTGTTTGCGGAGCGTTAAAAACGCTCACACAAAGTGTGGACGAGCCCTAAAGGTGTTGACATGAAATTTTCACCACATGTCAGTAACAACCCATGCAATCCATACATACAAAGAAACCAAAACGTCATAAATTATGTGCAGTAAAATGGAATGCCACACAGAAAAAGTATTGAACACAATTCATCAATAGCTATAGTACAGATTCTGAGGAGGGAGGGCAGCATGGTCAGCACTCTTAATGGGTGCCTGTGACAGGTCCCTTGGCCTGTTTTCAACTGTGGGGTATGGGTATGATGAAGAGGAATTATGATTTCAATTATGACAGCCAGCGCTAGCACAAGTGACAGTTCTGATTAAAGTACCATCCCTTGTGCTGTTTTTTTTAAATAAAAGTTTTACATAAACTTAGGATTTACACCCCGGTCACACTGGGTGCGACTTGCCGTTCAATTTGCCATGCCATGCGACTTTCAAATGGTGTGACTTGGTCAGACTTGGTCAGAGTCGCACCGATTTAGTAGCGCATGCACTAATTCAGGAGCAACTTGCACAGATATCTAGGCAGATGTCTTGCAAGTTGCACCTCAAGTTGGAATGACATCTGACTTTGAAACCACGTGACTTCAAAGTCGATGTCGGTGTGACGGGGGGGAATGTTCAAGCCAAGAAGCTCTGCACTCTGCTTCCCTATAATGCAATGCACAATCCTTGCTGATCTAGAGGGCCGTGTCAGATGGACAGTTTATTCACAGTAACCCTTTTTTTAAAGTGATTTCTTGCTAAGGAAATCCTAGTTAAGGAATCACTAACTCGCTAATTTTACATTGGTTTGTTGCTCGGTTATGTTTGTGCAATATAAGTGAACATATCGGTGTGCCATTAGTGTCTACAAAAACCCCAAACACCATAATAATATACCTTCACCCCTGAAAGTTCAAAATATGTAGTCCAAATGTTTCAGCATCTAAACGTCCTAAAACACCCGTGGATGTGATTTTCTTCTTTAATATTCTTCCTCCAAAATGTGAGAATTCTTCTTATTCCAATAAACCAGACGGTAAGAATCCACCAGCAGTGAATAGATATAGGTTCCTCTCCTTCCAGAGTATATATGATCTCCAATGGCATCATAACATATATCAGAACAACTCAATATAGTGTGGTAGGCAATACTAGGAATTGGACCATTTATTTAGTTAAAATTGCGCTTCAAAACAAAATTCTTGTGTCTCAGCATGTATTCACTCATAAAACAAGCGTGATGTGTAAAGCTTTCAAAATGGCTGCTCCGCAACTTCCGGTATACATCCGACGGTAAGTCCTGACACGTTTTGTCACTTCCGACATCAAAGGCTTTAATGCTGGTGGATTCTTACTGTCTGGTTTATTGGAATAAGAAGAATTCTCACATTTTGGAGGAAGAATATTAACCTCCCTAGCTAGTGTAGCTCGGGGTAAAATGTCTGTACCAAAAGCGGTAAGCCCGAGCTACACTCGGACTTACCATGCGGCGCTGCATAGGGATTCCCTGCAGAGCTTACCTTGTCCTTCGCTCCCGTGATGCGTCCCCTGCAGCGCCCCCGGCCATCTCCTCCGGCCGATGCCGGCATCCGGCTTCTGTGTTCCGGTCCCTGGGACGTACGGGCGCCGCCGGCGGCGGGAAATTTGAAAATTTTAAAAAATTTCATTTTTTTCCAAACAAATTTTACATAGTAAAACATTGCTGTTTCAACCCATTTCACATACATTTTGTCCCTAGTGCTTTGTCCTGTGCCCTGCCTGCATTTTGTCTGTTCTTTCTGCCTGGAAACTGAGAAACGTCCGTGGCGTCCAAAAAGTGTCCCTTTAGGTCAAAAGCGGTTTTAGATCAGCTAGAGAACAGCGATAGTAAATCAGAACCACTTGCAGAATTGAGTGATAATTGCCTTTGTCTTTGTACAGCGCTGAGCAAACCCTTTGGCGCTATATAAATACTGTATAATAATAATGATTCGTGGGGAAATTCGTCATCAGACACTGAAAACAATTTTGCGACTTTGCTCAGTGATGTGCGAACTTGGCGCTATATTTCAAATTTCAGTGTTTTTGGTTTGATTATATTATTGAATTGTATTATTATTATATTATTATTTTTTTATGTTTATTTATTAAATTATAATTTATGATTTCGTGTTTCAAATTTTATCATACCCGGGATGTTTAATAGACTCTTGTTCGTACAGATTTCAGTGAGTTATTCCTAAAAATTACAGCGTACAATAAAAAAACGACATATTTCCATGCAAAATAATGGTACCGTTTTCAGCACCAAAAATCTGAAAATCAGACCGCCAGGGAGGTTAAAGAAGAAAATGAGCACATCCACGTTTAGACGCTGAAATATTTGGACTATATGTTTGTGCAATGTTTCATGTCTCTGACAAACTCACAAATGATCATTGCTCTGCATTCACCTCTGTGGCTTAGCGACACACTGCTGAAGGAACGTAATTTGTAGCAGCGCATGCTTACATAAGGACAGTTTTACCCATAGTTGTAACAAATCGCATCTTAGTGACAAAAGTTGTCAGCAACTATAGTGATTGGCTATCAGTTGCTGTTAATTGCTATCTTTAGGAATGTGTAATGATGAGCAATTGCTGCTACAAAACCACCAGTCTGACATGACCTGTAGACTGTGTTCACAGGGAAAAGGTAGGTGCTGAACTTGAAAACCGACTAATACAGTTCAGCTTTTGCTACAACCTATAAGTTCTTTGGCTAAAACTAATTTTGTAGCCATACCTCTATTGCTATTAATTGCCATCTGTAGGAATGTGTAACAATGAAGAATCGCCGCTACAAAATCACCAGTCTGACATGGCCCATAGACTGTGTGCACGTAGAATGGGAAGGTAGGTGCTGAACCTCCACAGAATGATACTATTCGGCTTTTGCTACAATCCATATGTTTTTCGGCTAGAATGAATTTTGCAGCCTTACCTGTAAATGATTTGTGATTTTTAAGTGCCATCACCCTAAAATGAAATGAGTGGGCAGATATTAGACTTAATAAATGTAGAATGAGGGTTTAGATTCCCCAGATTCTGGAACAGGTGCTGCCATCTTTAGACAATGGCAGTTTTTCACCACAAGAGTCATAAATGGAAGAGATTATCATGTTTTACATATTGACAATGATAAATCAGTTGACTGAAAATGTATATTTTTTTTAATGTTTCCAATAACAGGATTTGGACCTTGGAGTCAGGGAGGGAATCTTCAAGGAGGTGAGTAGTAGTACCATGGACCACATTGTGATTCCATGTTTCTGCTAATTTTTGTTTGTAATATGTCAGGATTTGTTTATACAAAAATCATAGCAGAAAAAAGGTTACAAGAATTTGTCACCTGACGGCGGTACAACATTGTCATAAATAGCCAATTCTAAGGTGCATTTGTTTTCTTTTTTAGCCTTTGTTTCTCTTATTTTCACTCAATAATCTTGCCAGTATGACTGTTGCTTTTCAACAGAACAAGCTGTCATACAGATGTAGCAGTTAGAGAGTGGAGAAAAAAACAGTTTCCACTGACAGGGCTGCTTACAATGACCAGCTTTTATTTATGTAAAACCTTTATCCCAAAAATAACAAAACTGTTTACTGTAACTGCTTAAAAAGTGTTAGCTGAAGTTTGGCTTCAATGTGCTAGTGCAGTGGTGGGCAACCTTTTTTTTCAACTGAGCCAAATCTCGCCAAAACCACGATTGTAATTTATTTTGAGAGCCATATTTTTAAAACTGAAAATACATAGGATGGTACACTGTTTTTAGTTTCAATAAGTTTTTATAGTAATTCATCCCCCGTATATAGTAATTCATCCCCCCTATAGTAATTCATCCCCCATATAGTAATTCATCCCCCATATAGTAATTCATCCCCCATATAGTAATTCATCCCCCATATAGTAATTCATCCCCCATATAGTAATTCATCCCCCATTTAGTAATTCATCCCCCATATAGTAATTCATCCCCCATATAGTAATTCATCCCCCATATAGTAATTCATCCCCCATAGTAATTCCTCCCCCATAGTAATACATCCCCCATATAGTAATGCATCCCCCATATAGTAATTCATCCCCCATAGTAATTCATCCCCCATATTAATTCATCCCTCATATAGTAATTCATCCCCCATATTAATTCATCCCTCATATAGTAGTAGTAAGTAAGTAGCAAGTAGTAAGTCAAGTCCCCCCTGTGTCAATTCACTTACCTTTGCTCCGCGCATTCCTCTCACCGTGCTCCCCGCGCCGTTCCGGTCTTCAGGGCGGACTGTGAGAGGAGCCTAGCTCCCCTCACGTTCTTCACGCTGCCCCGCCTACACACATCCTGACAGCCAATCACTAGCTATCAGGATGTGAGTGGCAGCGAGACTGGCCAATCATTGCTGGGCTAGCTGCAGAGTCCTCGGCCACCCGAGAGGAGGGAGGGGAGGCGGCCGCCCGAGAGGAGGGAGGGGAGGGGAGCGAGCGCCCGGCACACAGAAGAGCCGCATTAAAATGTGTAAAGAGCCGCATGTGGCTCGCGAGCCGCGGCTTGCCGACCACTGTGCTAGTGTATCTAAATCTGCTATTAAATCTAACACTCCCCTCTCCCAAAGACTGACAATGTTGCTGTCCAAAGGGGTCCCTGTGTTTCTTAATTCAGAGTGCAAGCACTTTAATACAGAAGGTGTGTTACTGGTCAGATCACCAGGCGAAAACAGGGGAAAAATAAGAAAACTAATGCAGCCACAACATCTAATGATTGGTGAGCTGCGATATATTATATTTTTGGTTTTGGGTTTAATACTGCTTTAAAGTGACCACCATTCCATGAAAATCCTGATCTTCACACTGTCTTAGCTGTGATGTATTTAGCCAGGCTTTGACTGACTGGTTAAAGTCTTATCAGAAGGGATTTGGCCACCATTGTGGTTACCCCTTGGTCAAAGAATATTTGGAACAAATGACTGTAGCATTAAGCTACAGTTGAGACCAGCTGCTGAAGGTTTCCTGGTATCAAAGAAGCGTTTACTCCCCATGGCCAAGGGACAATGTCCTTCTGGTCTAATGTGGATTCTATTGTCTAAAACACCACAGGTGGAAATTGCACCCACCTTGGCAAAGACGCCTGAGGCACATCCCTCGCTGGGGGTTAAGCAAAGTCCTTGTCCTTATGCCACATCCACAAGGCTTGGAGTGCCAAACTCTCAAACATTTTTTTTCTCAGCATAAGGGTGCATTCCCCTGCTTTCCAAAGTGGTATTCACTTTGCTGTGCTCTCAGGGTATTCCCATTCTCGGATGCCTAGACAACCTACTGAAGGAACAGTCACCTTGTAACAGACAATGTAGCCTTGACTGTTCAGACATTACAGAGACTCAGATTGAACTGGATCCATCACTTATAGTATTTAGACCTAGTCCTAGACACAGCTCAGGTCAAAGTATTTGATGATTCAAACTCTTCGACCTCTGACTTTCACTCCTCAGTCCAGAAGTCCTCTGACTCTCTGCTTTTGGTAGCCTTATTTGAGGCACAGTCCCATTTGTCAGTTTCACTTCAGACCCTTTAAAAAACATTTTGTTGTGGGACAGGTCAGTCCAGTTTCTGAAAAGATTGACTTGAAGAATCAGGTTGTCCATGGCTTGGTGGCTCAGGAATCCAGCAGTGGAGCCTGTTGGGATTCGGAGGGGTCCTGGGCACCTTGTTGGTGGAAGGGGCTTGGATTTTGGAGAAATCGTGTCTCCAGATAAACATTCTAGAGCTTCAGGCGATGTGGTTTTCTCTCTGTCAATTTAGCTTTGAATCTGGTTCTTCTGACACTTTGAATCTATCAGAGTCCTTCCCTTTTACATGCTTACCCATAAGGTGGTGTTTCTTGTAGTGATCACTTCAGCAAGGAGTGTGTCTGAGCTGGTGTCCTTATCCTGTAAAGAAACCTTTCTGGCCTTGCACAAGGTGGTGTTGAAGTCCTGACTTTTCTTCCTACCTACTGGGGTGTGGAAATTTTTTAAAAAACTACTTGACAGGGACTAAATTGGTGTCCCAATCTACTTGTCCCTCATGACAATCTACTTGTCTAAATAAAAAAAAAAAAAAAAAAAAAAACAAAACTGTATTTAAATCTGAGGTGCTTTTAAGAATGTCTGGGACTTTTAACCATTAGCCGCCCGGCCAATGGCCGTTTGGCGGCTTCAGATGTGTATCTGCATTCCGGGTGCACGCCATTTGGCGTGCTCCCGCACATGCGCCGTTTGCGCTAGTGCAGAGCGGCGCAGCAGTGCGATCTGTCATCGGCCGTGCACCTTGGACACGGCCGATGACAGATCCGAGTACCGGCTCCCGTTGCTGGTACCATACCATGTGACCTGCTGTGACCAATCACAGCAGGTCACATGACAGTTGTATACAATGGATGGCTTCATTCATGATGCCATCCATTGTATACTAGTGCCTAGCTGTGAATGGTCACAGCTAATCACATGCACATGTCATGTGATTAGCTGTGACCAAATCACAGCTAAGCACAAAAGAAAAAAAAAAAAAAAAAAGCTGAATGAATCGATTCAGGTAAATGCTTCCTTATAGCAAAGTAATTCTTTGCTATAAGCAAATTGTGTAAAGAAAAAAAAAAAAAAATACTGATCACTTCCCCAAAGTAGTACAATGTTACTATGGTAACATTGTACTATTTTGGTCATAGTAAAATATGAAAAAAAATCTTAAAAAAAATAAACAAAAATGTAATAAAAAATTAAATATAATAAAAAAAAATTAAAAAAAATATATTTTTTTTTTCATACTGTCACCAGTCGGTGTCCCTGTTCACCGCCATGCCAGTTATATGATGCTGTACTGCACTGGTGACAGTATGTAAAAAAAAAAATAGTGAAAATAATTTTTTTCATTTTTTCATTTTCCGAAAAATTATGACAAAAAAATACAACTTCAAAAAACTCGCCATGCCTCTTATGAAGTACGGCGGACTGTCTACTCTGCAAAAAGGGGTCATTTGGGGGATATCTGTACTGTTCTGACATTCTTGGACCTCAAGAAATTAGATTGGCCGTCAGTACTTCAGGATTGATCAATTTTCAGATCTATACCATAGTTTGTGAACTCTATAACTTTCCTAAAAACTAAAAAATACATCCTAATTTGGGTTATTTTCACCAAAGACATGTAGCAGAATACATCTCGGCCTAAATTTATGAAGAACAATTATTTATTTGTAAACATTTATAACAGAAACAAAGAAAAATGTGGTTTTTTTTTTCAAAAATTTTGGTCTTTTTTTGTTAATTTAGCAAAAAATAAAAACCCCAGCGGTGATTAAATACCACCAAAAGAAAGCTCTAGTTGTGAAGAAAATCATAAAATTTTTAGTTTGGATACAGTGTTGTATGACCGCGCAATTGTCATTCAAAGTGTGAGAGCGCTGAAACCTGAAAAATGGCCTGGGCAGGAAGGTGTAAAATTGCCCGGTATTGAAACGGTTAAAATCAAAAGGGGCTTTATGGCAATTTAACCGTTTAATATTTTTAACATTTGTGCTGTTTATCTCTTCCTGCCTGTCTCCAGCACCGCACCCAGGGACTAGCAGGGAGGGGAGAGACTTTGCAGTGTAATGAGCACTGATTGGGTGCCTGCCAGGAAAGGGGAGTGTCGGGCTTATCCTTTATCCCTTTTGCTGCCAGAGCTGTTTTTGCGTTTTTTGCACAAGTTTAAAAAATAAATAAATAATTTTAGGCCTGAATATTACACAAAACCCCCAAACATATAGTTTCTGAAAACAGACTCTAGAGAATAAAACAGTGGTAGTTACAATTTTTTATTTCGCATGATATTACCGATATTACCGCAAAATTTCACTGAAAAATACACAAGTTAATTTTAGGGCACAAAAAAGCAATAAATTACTGTGTTTTTTGTAAAATATAAAAGATGAGGTTGCACCGAGTAAATAGATATCCAACATGTCAAACCTTAAATTTGCGTGTGCTTGTGAAATGACGAACTTTAGTACCCTATATTTTCTATAGGCTACACTTTTAAAGCCCCTTTTAGATCATCAGTATAGTGTCACTGAGGATGTCTCATGCTAGAATTATTGCTCTCATTCTGGCGTGCGCATTCATATGTAACGTGTATTGCAATTGGCGTTTTCATGCGTCGGCACCCCAGCGTGTGCTTTTTTACGTTTGTACGTTTGTGTATGTGGGGGTAGGGGGGCCTCAAATTTATTTTTTGAGGGGTTGTTATGTACTTGGATGTAACTTTTTGAATTTTTTATGAATAAAAAAAATTTTTTTTTTACTTAATTTTTTTTTTTCATCACAAAAAGTCCCCTATGGGATTTTGGTGACAGGTTCTCTTTATTGAGACATCTAAGGTCTAAAAGACCCTGGATGTCTCCCCTGTGCTCCGCTGAATGTAATGCAATGCACATTACACTGTATTATATTCTTTCATTACACTGTATTACATTCTTACATTCTTTTCCGGCCTCACTCTCGGGGAAATCTACCAACGGGGACCCAGAAGTGACATCATAATGTCACTTCTGGGTCAGGACAAGAACGGGAGGGGATTGGAGGCTGGTACTTTGGGCTGTGTGAAAGCAATTGGTCAGCAGCCTGGCCGCCCGTATGCTATTAGCTGACCGGGCTAAAGGTTAAAAAAAAAAAAAAAAAAAACTACCTGCCTTTCGCCCCGGAACTACACTGCTCAAAAAAATTAAAGGAACACTGTGAAAACACATCAGATCTCAAAGAGGAAAAATATCATGATGGAGATCTACACTGATATGGAATGGGTAATGTGTTAGGGACATAAGGATACCCTATCGTTTGATGGAAATGAAAATTATCAACCTACAGAACACTAAATTCAAAGACACCCGAATATAAAAGTGAAAAAACTATGCAGCAGTCTAGTCCATTTTGCTGAAATTTCATTGGAGCAACTCAAAATGGTACTCAGTAGTTTGTATGGCCCCCACGTGCTTTTATGCATGCCTGACAATGTCGGGGGAGGCTCCTAATGAGATGACAGATGGAGTCCTGGGGTATTTCCTCTCCGATCTGGACCAGGGCATCACTGATCTCCTGGACAGTCTGAGGTGCAATTTGGCGGCGTCGGATGGACCGAAACATGTTATCCTAGAGGTGTTCTATTGGATTTAGGTCAGGTGAGCATGGGGGCCATTCAATGGTAAAAATTCTGTCATCCTCCAGGATGTGCGTACTCTCACCACATAATGCCGGGAATTGTCATGCACCAGGAGGAACCCGGGACCCACTGCACCAGTGTAGGGTCTGACAATGGGTCCAAGGATTTCATCCCGATACCTAATGGCAGTCAGGGTGCCATTGTCTAGCCTGTAGAGGTCTGTGTGTCCCTCCAGGGATATGCCTCCGCAGATCATCACTGACCTACCACCAAAACGGTCATGCAGAACGATGTTACAGGCAGCATAACGGTCTCCGTGGCTTCTCCAGACCCTTTCATGTCTGTCACATGTGCTCAGGGTGAACCTGCTTTCATCTGTGAAAAGCACAGGGCGCCAGTGGTGGACCTGCCAATTCTGGTGTTCAATGGAAAATTCCAGTCAAGCTCTATGGTGCCGAGCAGTGAGCACAGGGCCCACTAGAGGACGTCAAGCCCTCAGACCACCTTCATGAAGTCTGTTTCTGATTGTTTGTTCAGAGACATTCACACCAGTGGCCTGCTGGGGGTCATTTTGTAGAGCTCTGGCAGTGCTCATCCTGTCCCTCCTTGCACAAAGGAGCAGATACTGTCCTGCTGATGGTTTAAGGACCTTTTACTGCTAGAGTAACTGCCTGTCTTCTGGAATCTCCTCCATGCTCTTGAGCTGAGAGACACAGCAAACCTTTTGGCAATGGCACATATTTGATGTGCCATCCTGGAGGAGTTAGATTGCTTGTGCAACCTCTGTAGGGTCCAGGTATGGCCTCATGCTACCAGTAGTGACACTGACCCTAGCCAAATGCAAAACCAGTGAAAAACAGTCAGAAAAGATGAGTAGGGAAAAAAATGTCAGTGGCGTCCTCCTGTAAAACCATTCCTGTTTTTGGGGTTGTCTCATTGTTGCCCATCTAGTGCACCTGTTGTTAATTTCATTAACACCAAAGCAGCTGAAACTGATTAACAACCCCCTCTGCTATTTAACTGACCAGATCAATATCCCAGGAGTTTAATTGGCTTGATGCAATACTTTGTTTAGAAAGTGTTCCTTTAATTTTTGTAGAGCAGTGTACATGTCCAGGGCGTCGGGTGATATAACTTCAACATCACTGATAGTGCCAGATCAGAGATGCAGTTCAAGTTTTGATGGAGATATACTGAACCACTCTGCAGATTTGACATTCCTGTATCAGGTGAAATTTAATGCATATAATGCCTACTGCAGGGCTAACTACCACCACCTCCATTTGGGAGGGTAAATATGCCAGGACTGCAAAAGATACCGTACAATTACCACCATTGAAAGGTGGCCTGGATGTACCTAATCTTCAGGCCTACTTGCCATATCCACTGGTGGTTATATCCAGAGAAGAAAATAATGCAGCTGATATTTTAGAAGTGGCTATCCTTACATCAAATGAAACCCTTAAAAATGTAATACATAGACAATGTGCCCCAAGGTGCATCAGTGCTTCCACCTTCACTATGATACTCTGTGTATTCCGGACATTTCACTTGGCCCTATCAAGTGGGAACACTGCCTGCTCATCTAATAGCCCTTTATGGCACAACCCCAAATGCGGGAATTTTTCTTGAGGACAGTTTATTTTGGGCTAGGCATGGAGTGAAATATATCTCCCAAAGGGTACCTTTTAATATTTTTCAGCATTTCAACAGGAACTAATAAATACAGCATAATTTAGATATTTACAAATACGCCATGCTACGCCACACCCCTGGTCACTATGCAGACTTTAGGACTAATGTGCGTTTCTTCAATAGTCTGTTTTGATCGTGCTTCATCCTTCTTCAACTAAACAAGCCTCAGTTGCTGCACAGTACATTTCTTATGCATTATGTATTTGATGTATCTAAGTGATCACATAAATATTTCTCTTCTACATCTTATTTAGGGCCTTACGTGGAACATGGAGGTCATTGGCAAGGTAAGCATTACAACTTTTCATTATTCAGTATGAATAATAAATTGACCTTCTTTTTTTTTTTTTTCTTTTTTTTGCTGACTTACGTTTTACTTGTTTAGAAATGTTATTCCTTCATATGTAAAATAGATCTCCGGTCCCTTCTTCCTACCATCTGTACCCTCTGAAAAATAAAATTTGTTTTTGGGTGAGATTATCCTTTAACATCCTTCAGAGTGTGGTTTTATGTGTTTCCTACACAATTAGCAAGAGTCATCCAAAGTCAAAATGGGTGTCTAGGATAGTGCATGTTGTTGTTCAGCCTCCACTAATCCTGCTTTTGTTGCATAGGATATGAATATCATGAACCAATGATGGATATGGATGGCCCTGGTCCCAGCTTCAGTCAAGGATTTGGGATGCCGCCTGATTTCCCACCAATACCTAAAAGGTATTCTTATTGTGCAGCTTCCACCATGCCTTGGGCTTTTTCATTGGGTTGAATAAAGACGAGGGTGATAGATTAGCAGTGTACAGGGTTTGTCTCTGAAAATTACCATTTATGTCAGTCTCAAAAAAGAGACCTGTGCATGTTTTCTTGTTTCATTGAACACTGCAGGGGCATGCGCTAAATAAGGATGATAAAATGTTTATTATTTAGGTGTGTCACAGTAATCCATAAGTTCTTAGTATCACTTTGAAAGGGATGGTCCTGGAAATGTATGGTAGACTGTTTTTCGTGGTCCTTTTGAAGGTCTGCACACTCCTTCCAATGGTGCTGCAGATGTCCTGTTCCCTCAGAACGAAGTAATTTGTTAAGAATACCCAGGCTCCAAGCTGCATCAATAACGTAATCAACTGCACAAGAATGCCCATCAGATCAATTTATTTTTTTTTTTAGATTGGGGAGCAGGTACACGCCTAGGGTGGCTAGATCAGGTAAGATATTGAAGTTCAAACTCACTGCTATGGCAGTTTCAGATAGCTTTCTCTGAGCATTAAAAATTGGTAAATGAACACCTTTTGGTCAATTTTCCCCATTCTTTATCCTTTAAATTCAATAAACATTTTCCTAGCAGGCTAGCGTAGCATGGTATGGTTATTGTGTAGCCCCTTTCAAGAGGTAATCCACCTTTTACCATTCCCTTTGTATCCTAGAAACCTGTTACCATCGCTCATCTAGCAATAGTGACAGCCTTTATCTTTTTTTTTTTTTTTTTTTTTTTTTTTTTTTTGTTGGTTGAGTGAGCCAGTGTGGTGTCATTGTTACCACGAGGCAAACGGTTTTCAGGGAGGCAGCGCTGCCCCCCGGAAGAAGAGGCACACACAGCATGGGAACCAGGTAGCATCTGAGAGAGGCTGTGGGGCTGCTTGATGGTGTATGCAGAGCCAGACTCTCGTTTCTTGTGATGTCTGGAGCTGTGAAGGTGAGTGTCTTTTTTTGTTGCCGGGGGAAGGAGGGAGATGGCGGTGGATGTATGGGTGGCCGTGGTAATGGAGGACTCCCTCAGTCGGCGGGTGTGTGTGTGTGTGTGTGTGTGTGTGTGTGTGTGTGTGTGTGTGTGTGTGTGTGTGTGTGTGTGTAATGGGGGAAGATTTTGCCAAAAAACATCTTGATTATCCCCACTTTTGGGCAAATATTCTTTGGACTGATGAGACAAAACTTTTGGAAGGTGTGTGTCCCATTACATCTGTCATTAAACTAACACAGCATTTCCTAAAAAAGAACATCATAGCAACAGTCAAATATGGTGCTGATAGTGTGATGGTCTGGGGCTGCTTTGCAGCTTCAGAACCTGGAAAGCTTGCCATAACTGATGGAAACATGAATTCTGTGCTCTACCAAAAATCCTGAAGGAGAATGTCCGGTCATCAGTTTGTGAGCTCAAGCACTTGGGTTATGCAGCAGGACAATGATCCGAAACACCAGCAAGTCCACATCTGAATGCCTCAAAATAAAACAAAATTAAGGTTTTGAAATGGCGTAGCGAAAGTCTGGGCCTAAATCCAATTGGGATGCTGTGGCATGACCTTAAACATGGTCGTTCATGCTAGAAAACCCTCCAGTGTGGCTGTATTAAAACAATTCTGCCAAGAAGAGCGGGCCAGAATTCCTCCACAGCATTGTGAAAGACTCATTGTCAGATATCACAAACATTTGATTGCAGTTGTTGCCAGCAAGGGTGGCACAACCAGTTATTGGGTTTAGTGGGCAATTACTTTTTCACATAGGGCCAGGCAGGTTTGGACAGCTTTTTTCCCTTCCTAAATTAAATCATCATTTAAAAACTGCATTTTGTATTTACTCGGGTTATCTTTGTGTAATAAAATTGGTTTGATGATTTGAATCATTTGTGTGACAAATAGGCAAAAAACTAATGGGCTAAGGGGGCAAATATTTTTTCACAGCACTGTAAGTAATTATGTAATTAGGCACAGAACATTATTCTGGAGTAACAATATCTTGGGAATCTAGCCAGGGGGACAAGACCTTATTGAACTTCTTAGGCATCCCCTCACCTCATAGGTTAATTTGTACATGGGAATTGCCTTGTTAACAAGAGCAAGCCATAAAGATATGGAGGGAGGGTGGATTTCCAATACAACATTTTTAATTTCTTAGCATAAAAAACAGTAAATTTAAGTGTTTTTATTCCATTAGGGAGAGTGTCTTCCTCCACATAACTTAATAAGCAACGTAAGGGGTTATATATATTGGGAAGCTGTAGAATCGTACTGGTAAAGTTAGTAACCAAAAGGCTCATATTGGTGGGCATTCCCAGACCATATGGTAAAATGACCCCACTGCTTCAGAGCGTTTGGTTCAAACGGGAGAGTGAAGCCTACCCACCCTACAAAGAATGTACGAGGTATAGTATGAGCGGGGTAGGAATTTTGTTTGTATCACTCTATCTTGAGCAGAGATAACCATAGGTATCTGTAGAGGTTAAATTTCCTGCTAAATGTCCTCTGTCAATTCTGGTACATCATCCCCCTTCCAACTGGATTGTTTAATCACTTCAAGTCAGGACACTTTTACCCCCTTCCTGTCCAGGCCAATTTTCAGCTTTCAGTGCTATCACACTTTGAATGACAATTGCGTGTTCATGGAACACTGTACCCATATGAATTGTTTAGCTTTTTTTGAGACAGATAAAACTTTATTTTGGTGGTTTTTATTCACCACTGGGATTTTTATTTTTTTATTGCTATATAAATGAAAAAGTCCAAAAATTTTGAAAAAAAGTGTTTTTCTTATAAAATTTTGCAAATAAATAATTTTTCTTCATAAATATTGGCCAAAATGTATTCAGTTATCTTTTTAGTAAAACAAAATAACCCAAATTAGTTTATAACCAAAAATTATAATTTTTCAAACATTGTTTTATATTTTTATTTTATTTATTTATATTTTTTTTTGTTTTTGTTTGTTTTTTAACATACTGTCACCCTAGCAGTACAGTGTCACCATAGTGACACTGTACTACTTGTGGGGGTGATGATTTTTATTTTTTTTTTACACTGATTGCTTTTACACCCATAAATGCTGTAAAAGCAATCATTTCTCTTTCTCTCTGGCTGCATTCTTGCAGCCATTGAGAAATACTGTGAGAACTGTGATTGGTCACAGCTTGTCACATGGTACAAGGCTGTTGTGAATAGCTTTGTACCATGTGACCTCTGTGATCATTCACAGATTTCACTAGTAGTAAGCAATGATGTCAGAAGTGACATCTTACTTACTACTATTCATGTGATTACTGATTGGCCAATCAGTGATCACATGATCGGGACCTCACACAGAGGTCCTGTACAGCGATCTCCGGAAACAGCGGACACCAGATTGCGGTGCCGCGTGCTCCCAGAGAGCGCATACAGACTAAAATGGCAGGCACCGTTTTTGAACGGCAACCCGCTCCTGCACTGCTCCTGTCCGGCTGTTTAGGGAAAGTGGTTAAGACAGTTAGTGCTCAAGTGGAGCAAGAAGGTGCAGAGATAAGTTTGGAATGCTCTGGTTGCGAGAGCAATTTTTCAAGCTTAGAAGCTTGGAACGATACCTTAAGAAGCCTGAATTTTACAGTGGCTGTGTGATTGATTTGTATCTAAAACAGGTAGTGTTGGGCAGGGGCGGACTGACCATTTGGGAACTCGGGCACTGCCCGAGGACCCGGGGTCAGAAGGGGGCCACATGAGATGCCCCTGGTACCTTTTTCATAGGCTTTTTTGGGTGTGGTTTGAGTGTGGGCAATGACACGGGCCCCCATGGTCCCCTATTGCCCGGGGGCCCCATGAGTTGTCAGTCCACCCCTGGTGTTGGGTATAACATAATCTCGTTAGAAGTCCAAATAAGGTTTAAAGGTCCCCATGTGATACAAATCTGCAACAGTTTTAATGCCATGATGGGCCCAGAACAGCACATCATCTTGAATATAGAGCTCACTGAATTGTGGGCTGTGCCATAAGGGGGTGTTAAGTTAGAGACCGCCCAATTCCCTATCATCAACTAACTGGGATGCCTTAATGATATGGGGGGTCATGGTGAGTATGTCGGTACCCTCTCACATTTGGGTAGACTGTGTGGGCAAGACTTTGCATGGATTCATGGTAGGAAGCGCCACCTCCAGTGCAGTGGCCGCATTGTTCCTCTCTATCTGGAACCACCAACTGTTATTTTTGCATTCACTTTAAGGTGCCTATTTAGCTGCTTTGTAATTTTTAGTATTTTCTCTGTACAGATTTGCCTTATCTGCACACTGGTACGTTAATTTGGCTTGCAGAATGCCGCTTTCCATGTCCACCAGGATTAATTCTGTAATGTCCTTGCAATCTTTTCTTTTCTAGACCCCCATTCCACCTTGAGTTTGAGTTATCTGAGGGTGCAAATCATGGATTTGACAGAAATGCAGGATGGCAGAGTGAAATTGGAAGTCCATTCTGGGACAGAGCTGGTGGGTCACGTCAAGGCTTTCGACGACCTTTTGACCGCAGCAATGCTAGAGGAGTAAGTCAGTACAACATTTACATTCAAATGTATGACATTTTGCTTGGACACAACTTTAAGGGAGAATTGTCCAGAAATTTCTAAAAAATGGTCAAAAGAACAGTTAAGGAATTGACCCTCCCTTTTTTTCTGATCTGGGGAGCTTGAGGGAAGTGGAAGAAAACTGAACCAAAATAACTGAAATTAAGTGCATTTATCATCACAAGTTTTACATTCGCTTTTGTGTTAAAAAAAAAAAAAAAAAAAAAGCATCTTTAACCACCGGGGAATGACAATTGCACGTTAATGCAACACTGTACCCATATGAAATTATCATTTTTTCACACAAATAGAGCTTTCTTCTGGTGGTATTTAATCACCACTGGGTTTTATATTTTTTGCTAAACAAACAAAAAAGACCAAACATTTTGGAAAAAAATCTTCGTTTTTTTTTTTTAAATTTTGAAATAAGTAAATTTTCTTCTTCACTGATGTGCACTGATAGGCGGCACTGATGGGCACTGATATTCTGTACTAATTGGGCTGCACTAATATGGGTACTGATATGCTCCACTGATGGGGCTGCATGGATCATCAGGGCACTGATCATCAGTGCCCTGATTAATTGTAAATGTCCACTGTCGCCAGACAATGACAGCACGGAGGAAAGGAAATGCTGATAACTGGTATTTGTTTACATGTGATCGGCCCCAGCTGATCACATGGTAAAGTGCCTACCTCATTGGCTCTTTACCCTGATCGGTGATGTGCTTTGTCTGAGGGACACAGCTCACTGTCGATTGTCCTGCTGCATCCTCCCAAAACGAGAGTGGTCCCATCCAGCCGTCATTGTACAATAGGTCGAGTGGGAACCAGTTAGTTAGTCTAGAACACTCCTGTGCCATCACTCTGGCCTTTGCTGATTACTGCCTGTCTAAAATGTAATTAAATGTAATTAATTTAATTATGTGTTCTTCAACCTTTTTATATTAGAATTTAACCATACTAAAGCCGGCCATAGATGGATCGAATCTCAGCCGGTTCAGCAGGGATCGATTAATCTATGGCTTGCCTAAGGCCACAATCTACTTTGAAAACCCAGGACTTCAGCACCGGATCCTGTACGAGTTATCATCCATATAAATACATTATTACTGTATATGTACAGTACATTGTGTTAAGTGCTTTTGTGCAGATCAAAGGGTTGTCCTTTCACATAAAGGGGACTCCAGAAGACTTTCTATACAAATTATGTTTAAATTTAACCTATTTTAACCCCTATAAGTTATGATTAACCACATGCCGCCCAGCCACTGTAGAAATACGGCGGCAGGGTGGCACGGCTGGGCAAAAGCACTTTTTAAAACGTGTGTTTTTAAAAACAGGTAGGGGGCGCGCACGAGGCGCGCCGCCGCCGCCCTACCTGTCCCGCCGATCACAGCCGCGGATGTCAGTCGCCGGGTCACAGCCGGTCGTTATTAGATTAGATATTTCATGAAAACGTAAGCAAGATCATTGCACTATTAAGAGATTTGCGGCTGATTCAGAGCATAGACGGGTTCGTGCAGATAAAGGCAAATTGAGGAAGATTTCTGCCAGATCCATGCATCTGATCAAGAGAGCAGCTGCTAAAATACCATTACATAGCAGCAAACAGATATTTGAAGCTGCTGCTGCCTCTGGAGTCCCATGGACATCAAGGTGTAGAGTCCTTCAGAGTCTTGCAACTGTGCATAAACCTTCTATTCGGCCACCACTAACCAATGCTCACAAGCAGAAATGGCTGCATTGGGCAGAAAAATACATGAAGACTAATTTTCAAACAGTCCTGTTCACTGATGAGTGCCGTGCAGCCCTGGATGGCCCAGATGGATGGAGTAGTGGATGGTTGGTGGACGGCCACCCTGTTCCAACAAGGCTGAGACGTCAGCAAGGCGGTGGTGGAGTCATGTTTTGGGCCAGAATCATGGGAACAGAACTGGTCGGCCCCTTTAAGGTCCCGAAGGTGTAAAGATGACCTCTGCAAAGTATGTGGAGTTTGACTGACCTCTTTCTTCCCTGGTACAGAAGGAAGAACTATGCTTTCCGTAATAAAATAATCTTCATGCATGACAATGCACCATCTCATGCTGCAAAGAATACCTCTGCATCAATGGTTGTTATAGGGATAAAAGGAGAGAAAATCATGGTGTGGCCTCCATCTTCCCCTGACCTCAATCCTATTGAGAACCTTTGAAGCATCCTCAAGCAAAAGATCTATGAGGGTGGGAGGCAGTTTACATCCAAACAGCAGCTCTGGGAGGCTATTCTGACATCTTGCAAACAAATTCAAGCAGAAACTGTCCAAAAACTCACAAATTCAATGGATGCAAGACTTGTGAAGCTGCTATCAAATAAAGGGTCCTATGTTACAATGTAACGTGACCTGTTAAAATGTTTAAAAAGTTAAAATGTTGTTAAAAGTTTGATTGAAATAGCTTTTGATTTCAGTAAATATGCTGCAAACACAACAAATGACAATTTTCAGTTCTTTACAACCTATAAAGTGTTTTGAAACTTACTGTGCGTAATAATTTGGAATAGTGCATTGGAAGTGTTTTATGTTTAACAAAAATCCTGTTATCATTAGGAGGTTTGTTCAATAAAATGTGAATTGTACTCTTAATAGTTGATAACATGAGAATTATGCCGACTGTTATTTACATCAATGATTTAGGTAAATGAGAAAAATATCATTTGCATAATAATTTGTAACACGGTGTAGACCAGACCTTTGTAAGAACTTATTTCTTTGTGCCTTCCATGGCATTAATTAGGGTTTTTGAAGATATTTGAATTTTTTTTTTATTATTAGTACATTAGATTTTGTCTTTTTTTTACACCAACCTATGAAACTTTTTCTGCTGAACATTTCAAAATGTTTCATCACTATCTTTGTGAACTCAACAGGTTGATGATCACGTCTCAAAAAAAAAAAAAAGAAAGAGGATTTTCTCAGCAGTCCAGCCGGCCCCAGTAAAGTTTGACAAGAAAAGTGTTGGTGGTACGGTAGTTCTGAGAATCTGTTAAAAATGTTACATGTCTTAATTTCCCCTGTGCTCTTGTAAACGTCTCACTCTGTCTGTTTTGCCCCCCTGATCTTGAGTTCATCAAGAACTCCCTGAAATTACACTTCTTCAAGAAAGTCTGTTTTCTAAACTTGAATAAGGCAGGCCATACATTATACAATTTTCTTGTACAATTTTCCTTTAGATTTACCAACACCATATAATATGAGGTTAAACCTAAACCCTTTCAATTTGTACACAGTCAGGCAGGCCCTTGTACTACATAGCTGAAGGAAAATCTAAAGGAAGTTGAATAAGAAAATTGTGTACTGTATGGCTGGCCCAAGCCTGCTTTTTTAACCTTTCATTTGAAATGAGAACTCTAATCCCATTTGCTCCTTTTGTTGTCTTTGAATGACGCTGCTTTCTTTAACCACTTCAAGTCCAGACACTTTAAACCCCTTCCTGTCCAGGCCAGCTTTCAGCACTATCACACTTTGAATGACAATTGTGCGGTCATGCAACACTGTACCCGTATGAATTTTGTAGCATTTTTTGAGACAGATAAAACTATTTTGGTGGTATTTATTCACCACTGGGAGTTTTATTTTTTTTTTTTTTTTTTTGCTATATAAATGAAAAAGTCCAAAAATTTTGAAAGTTTTTTTTCATATAAAATTTTGCAAATAAATAATCTTTCTTCATAAATCTTGGCCAAAATGTATTCAGTTATCTTTTTAGTAAAAAAAAAAAATAACCCAAATTAGTTTATAACCAAAAATTATAATTTCTAAAACATTTTTTTTTACATTTTCATGTTGTGGTTTTATATTATGTCTTGTTTTTTTTTTGTTTTTAACATACTGTCACCCTAGCAGTACAGTGTCACCACAGTGACACTGTACTACTTTGGGGGGGGGGGGATGATTTTTTTTTTTTTTACACTGATTGCTTTTAGATCCATAAAGGCTGTAAAAGCAATCATTTCTCCTCTCTGGCTGCATTCTTGCAGCCAATGAGAAATACTGTGAGAGCTGTGATTGGTCACAGCTTGTTACATGGTTGTTGTAACTACCCTTGTACCATGTGACCTCTGTGATCATTCACAAATTTCACACGTAGTAAGCAATGATGTTAGGAAGTGACATCGTGTTTACTACTATATACATGTGATCACTGATTGGCCAATCGGTGATCACATGATCGGGACCTCACACAGAGGTCCCGTACAGCGATCAGTGTTCCTCCGGACACAGCAGGCACCGGATTATTGTGCGGTACGCTCCCAGGGAAGCGGGAGGACGTTTATAAACGTCCACCCGCTCCTGCACTGCTCCCGTCTGGCCGTTTATGTACATGGGCCAGACGGGAAGTGGTTAAATTGTTGTGGTTTTCATGTTTAATTCGTATGTCTGATCAGTAGATTAATAGAGATATTTCTTATAGAATTTACACAGACACAGCAAAAACAAACCGTGCAAGGGAGCCAACCATCAGAAGCACAGGTTAAAGATGTAAGTATATTACTTACTGTCTTTGTAAAAGCAAGACGTTTGTATATATGTTTTTGTTTTTTTTCAAGCTACTAAACCTGGCTCAAACCTGGAAAACTGAAACAAAATATGTATAATATGACAAAATGCATAATCAGACCTTCTGTAAAAACTGCATGTCAAAATAGTGACTAGATGCAAAGATATTGTCAGCTACATATTTACTTGGCTCACAAGTTTTGCCCTAACCTCTTCTGATTTCAAGCTGTCATTTCCCTCTTTTAATGTGATGGACTGCCACCAAGCAAGATGAGGATGCGGGAGGTAGTAGAACTACGTTTGTACAGGACAAGTCATGGTATTCAAATAAAGTCAGCTGTCTATATCTCTGGACTTAAGCAGCCCATAGAGGAGTCAGAAAAAAACTGACTTGATTGCCTTATACACATGCTTAATGTGGATGGGGAATCCTCCCCGCTGAGCTATTGTATTCTGACAGCAGGGAGACTTACCTGCTGTCAGAAAACACTGATTAGCCTTGCAGCCTCTAACCTGCAGCAGGGAAAATCCAACTGGGTGGTTGTACAGAAGTTGATTGGTGGATAAACTTCTGTACAATCTCAGTGCCCATACATTCATTATGAAATGTTTCTTTATAAATTTTGCATACTTATGGGAAGCACCAAGAGAGGAGGAAGAGAACACTCCTTATTGTAAACACGGTAGCATTTATATTTGTGATTGCTGGGATTGTCCATCGCAGCTATCACAAGGCACAGATCCACTCTGAATTGCTCTGTGCATTTTGCCTGTGATTTGAGCTGTAAATCCCTTGATACTGCCGCCTCCTAGTGACCATTTACATGGGTGTAATGATGAAGTAGGATTTCTGATCACGTGATCACTGTGATTAGCAGTGACAATGTCACATGATAAGCCCGTTACGCTGGTTCCCAATCTCAAATAGTGACCTGCAACTGTTGGTGACAACTTGGTCACAAGCTGTGGGCGCCCTCTCAGCGCATAACCTCAGACCCCCACAGATGCATATTTATAAGGCCTGTCCCACAGCTGCATATATACATTACACTGGTGGGAAGAGGCTAATGACAGCGTGATCGCAGGCTTTCAAAGGGCGCACTGGCCACCCAAGCCTGTCTTTTCTGTGTTGTTTATAAATGATGTTCCCAAATACTGAGTCCACCTCTGTTTTTATTATACAGTGCTGTTGAGATGGTGAAGAAAACAATGTATTTGTGCTTTATATGTTTTGTTTTTTTTTAAGCAGGCAAAGCAACATAACGGAAATGCAAAACAAGGGGAAGACACAAAATTGAAGTCTATACAGGAAGCTAAAGGTAATTACAAAATGAAAAAATAATTGATATATCACATTGTTTTATTTATTTATTTGAACCTCCTATATTGACTATGTAATTTTCAATTCCTAGGTGACAAATCAAAAATGACTAAGAATGAAGGGGCTAACACAAAAGTGTAAGAGTATATATTTTTTTTAATTTATCCATCTTTGTTGTCTTAATACTGTCTTAACATCTGCCTATTATCTTATGAAGATGATGACAGGGTAATTTGTTGTGTAGTCTAACAGAGGAGAACCGGGCAGGCTGTCAGCACTTCTAGCAGAATCAACAGATATTTTTCCCTTTTTTGACCCTTTTTACTGCTGGATCTTGATCTGGATCTAGTTTTAATTCTTTTGCACACACGTTAAAATGCACATTTTAACCCTGAAGATCACTTGAAACCTCCAAAGCATTTCTGATAGTAGAGACCCTGTAAAATAAAATGGTAGTAGTAGCAATTTTCATGTCACATGATATGTGTGGTAATGTTTTTCCGCTCTGTATTTTCATTAAAAAATACATTCAAGATTACTTTAGTGCACATACAAAAAAAAATACCCATTTTTTTTTTTGTAAAATACAAAAGATGAGGTTGCACAGAGTAGATAGATACCAAATATGTTGAGCCTGAAAACTGCTTGTGCCCGTGAATTGATAAATAACTACTTTACCCAGATTTGTCCATAGGTGATGCCATAAAAGCATTTATATCTTATCAACTTAGAGTCAACCGTGATCGATGGCCCTTAAATTATTGATCTCACTCTGGTGTGTGCGATGATACATAATATATGAGGAGCATTCCTAATTTTCAGTTTTCATGTGCACCTGATGCACGTTTGCACTCTTGTAGGTGGCTTTTAAAATTAAATATTTTAGGGTTCACAGACTGCTCAATCAGCTTCTTCTCCGGCAAGAGCAACCGGAGATTGACAGCTCTAAACTCAGAGGTGTTTAAACCTGAGTGCTTCTGCGTTGATACTACCCAGGGAAGGTAACAAATGGATGTTTTCTGATCTCCCACTGCTCTCTATCCTGACAGCCACCATGGAGGTCTCAGGCATCCAGGGGGGACTGGTAAGCCACAGACATATGGGGAGGGGAGGGTGGTAGGCATCTCATAGTACATGTAGAAGTGATCTGGCTTGAATCATTTCTACTAGAAAGCTGGCAGCCGGTAACTAAAAGATAAGTAAAGTCCCATCTGCTAATAAACAGCAACCAGTCTGTTTACAAGGCACTCAGTTTCTCAGTTATTCTGCAAGAGAAATGAGGATAGAATAATTTACAAGCTCTTTAAAGCTTATCTTAACTTAGAACTGTGTTGCAAGTGTTCCTGTAATGTCAAAAATGTGATCACTTTTTTTTTTTTTTTCCAATTAAATCACATCAACTAGATCTGTCAACACAACAGACACTCTTTTCTATGCATTCCTATGTTGGACTACAAGCATACATGCCAAAACATCATGCACTGGTATATTCATGTACAGCTGCTGCTGAACATGCACCTGTCCCCTAGAAGTTCATACAAAGATCTTAGTGCATATGCACAGGTCATGGGGATAATCAGCACCGTGTGGGAAAAGTGTATGTATGTTAATGGATATGGGCTGAAAGTGCACACCCTCAGGTTTCATTTGAGGGTATGTACATCCAAATTGGAGGAAGGGTTTAGGAATTGCAGCTCTTAAGATAAGCCATCCCCCCTTTTTCACGGGACCAAAAGTAATTGGACAATTGAATCAAAAGCTGTTTCATGGCCAGGTGTGGGCTACTCCTTCATTATTTCTTCATCATTTAAGCAGGTAAAAGGTCTGAAGTTGTTTCTAAGTGTGGTATTTGCATTTGAAGTCTACTGCTGTGAACTGACATCATGTGTTAAAACGAGCTGTCCATGCAAGTGAAGCAGGCCATTGTAAGGCTTTAAAAACTAAACAAATCCATCAGAGAGATAGCAGCAACATTATGAGTGGCCAAATCAACAGTCTGGTACATTCTGGGGAAAGAAGAATGCACTGGTGAGCTCAGCAACATAAAAAGGCATGGACGTCCACAGAAGACAACAGTGGTGGATGATCGCATGATCCTCTCTGTGGTAAAGAAAAACCCATTCACAATCAAGAGAAGACTTCATGAGAGCAAATACAGAGGGTTCACCTCAAGGTGCAAACCATTCACAAACATGAAGAATAGAAAATCCAGATTAGACTTTGCCAAAAAGCATCTGAAAAAGCCAGACCAGTTCTGGAACATGGATGAAACTAAGATTAATACTGTACCAGAATGACGGGAAGAAAAAAAGTGTGGAGAAGGCTTGGAACAGCTCATGATCCAAAGCACACAACGCTATCTGTTAAACGTGGTGGAGGCAGTGTGATAGCATGGGCATGCATGGCTTCCAGTGGCACTGGGTCATTGGTGTTTATTGATAAGACACAAGCAGCTGGATGCATTCTGCAATGTTTAGAGATATACTGTCAGCCCAGATTCAGCCAAATGCAGCAAAGTTGATTGGACGGCACTTCACCGTACAAATGGACAATGATCCAAAACACACTGCAAAAGCAACCCAGGAGCTTTTGAAGAAAAAGAAGTGGAATATTCTGCAATGGCTGAGTCAATCACCTGATCTCAACCCAATTGAGCGTGCATTTCACTTGCTGAAGGCAAAACTAAAGGCAGAAAGATCCACAAACAAAGAACTGAAGACAGCTGCAGTTAGAGCCTGGCAAAGCAGAAAGGAGGAAACCCAGTCTTTAGTCATGTCCATGAGTTCCAGACTTCAGGCAGTCATTGCCAGTAAAGGATTCTCAACAAAATATTAAAAATGAACATTTTATTTATGATCATATTCAATTGTCCAATTACTTTTGATCCCTTGAAAAAGGGGGGATGGCTACTCTTAAGAGCTGTAATTCCTAAACTCTTCCTCCAATTTGGATGTACATACCCTCAAATTAAAGTGTGCACTTTCAACCCATATACATTATATAACTATGGCTTGAATATGTTTTGGCAACTACATGAAAAAAACTAAAATTGTGCCTGTGTCCAAATATATTATGTGGACCTAACTGTTTATATTTGTATTAAAAAATACTGTGAAAGTGCCGGCATGTTTCACATTGAAAGCAGAAGCGATGTAACATTCTTTTGCTTCCACTGTGTGATGAGACACCTAGCTAACAGGTGGGAAGCCTCACTGTCTTCATTCACTGTGTGCACTGCTAGTCATGTTACATCACTTCCGGTTTTGACGCTAAACATGCCTTCATTTTCACACCTGCAAACCATATTGGTTTTTCTATTTTTTTTTATGTGTATATATATATATATATACACAGTTGTGTTCAAAATAATAGCAGTCAGACATCACTAACCTGATCAATCACTGTTTTTGGTAGAATTGATATTTCTACATGGCAAATAATTTACTAGCAGGTGTAGTAGAGTAATAGAAATCCAACAGACCCAACAGTCATGACATGCATGCTGCTGATTCTGTGTAATTGAATCACTAATTGAAAGGGGCATGTTCAAAATAATAGCAGTGTGGAGTTCTATTAGTGAGGTCATTCATTCTTTGAAAAACAGGTGGCAATTATTGCCCTTATTGAAGGAAGGAAGGCAGCAAATGTTGTACATGCTGGTTACAGTGCATTTCTCTCTGAAATTCTGAGGAAAATGGGTTGTTCCAGACATTGTTCAGAAGAACAGCGTACCTTGATTAAGAAGTTGATTGGAGAGGAGCAAACATATAAAGAAGTGCAGAAAATGATAGGCTGCTCAGCTAAAATGATCGCAAATGCTTTAAAATGGCAACCAAAACCTGAAAGACGTGGAAGAAAGCAAAAAACTACCATTCAAATAGATAGAAGAATAGCCAAAATGGCGCAGACTCAGCCAACAATCAGCTCCAGGAAGATCAAAGATGGTGTAAAGTTCCCTGTGAGTACTGTTACAATTAGAAGACGCCTATGTGAAGCCAAGCTATCTGCAAGAAGCCCCCGCAAAGTCCCACTGTTGAAAAAAAGACGTGCTGAAGAGGTTACAATTTCCCAAAGAGCACATTGACTGGCCTAAAGAGAAATGGCGCAACATTTTGTGGACTGATGAAAGTAAGATTGTTCTTTTTGGGTCTAGTGGCCGGAGACAGTTTGTCAGACGACCCCCAAACACTGAATTCAAGCCACAGTACACTGTGAAGACAGTGAAGCATGGTTGCCCAAGCATCATGATATGGGGATGTTTCTCATACTACGGTGTTGGGCCTATTTATCGCATACCAGGGATCATGGATCAGTTTGAATACATCAGAATACTTGAAGAGGTCATGCTGCCTTATGCTGAAGAGGACATGCCCTTGAAATGGGTGTTCCAACAAGACAACGACCCCAAACACACCAGTAAACGTGCAACATCTGGGTTCCAGACCAACAAGATTGACGTTATGGAGTGGCCAGCCCAATCCCCGGATGTTAATCCAATAGAATACTTGTGGGATGACATCAAAAATGCAGTTTCTGAGGCAAAACCGAGAAATAGAGAAGAACTGTGGAATGTAGTCCAATCATCCTGGGCTGGAATACCTGTTCACAGGGGCCAGAAGTTGGGTGACTCCATGCAACACAGATGTACAGCAGTTCTCAGAAACAGTGCTTACACAACTCAATATTAAGTGATTCAAAGGAAAGCAAAATCTTCAAACATTTTTCAGTTTAAATAGTGAATGTTTGAGTTTGTAAATAAGAATACAAACACTGCTAATTTTTTGAACAGTCTTAATATTCACTTTTCTTCAATTGTTGTAGAGGAACAACACAAATTTGATATTTTTTTTCATGTTTTGATTCGGAATAGAATGTGTCGTGTTCCCAATGCATTTGTGTGTATGGAAATAAAAGCTATTAGAAGGATTTTGAGCTTTATTCACTTTTTTCAACACACTGCTATTATTTTGAACACAACTGTACATGCACAGTGAAGGAAATAAGTATTTGATCCCCTGCTGATTTTGAATGTTTGCCCACTCACAAAGAAATGATCAGTCTAAGAATCTAATATAGGTGTATTGTAACGCTGAGAGACAGAATAGCACCATAAAATTCACAAGAAATGCATGTCTAACAAATTATGCACTGATTTGCATGTTCATGAGGGAAATAAGTATTTAATCCCCTTCACAAAACATGACTTAGTACTTGGTGGCAAATGCCTTGTTGGCAATCAGAGGTCAGATTTTTCTTGTAGTTGGCCACCAGGTTTGCACACATCTCAGGAGGGATTTTGGCCCACTCCTCTTGGCAGATCCTCTTCAAGTCAATAAGGTTTGGTAGCTGACATTTGACAACTCGAACTTACAGCTCCCTCCACAGATTTTCAGTCAGATTAAGGTCTGGAGACTGGCTTGGCCACTCTAGGACCTTAATGTGCTTTTTCTTGAGTCACTCCTTTGTTGCCTTGGCCGTGTGTTTTGAGTCATTGTCATGCTGGAACGCCCATCCATGACCCATTTTCAATGCCCTGGCTGAGGGAAGAAGGTTCTCACCCAAGATTTGACGATACCTTGCCCCCTCCATCATCCCTTTGATGAGGTGCAGTTGTCCTGTCCCCTTAGCAGAAAAACACCCCCAAAGCAGAATGTTTCCACCACCATGTTTGACAGTTGGGATGGTGTTCTTGGGGTCATAGGAAGCATTCCTCCTCCTCCAAACACGGCGAGTTGAGTTGATGCCAAAGAGCTCGATTTTGGTCTCATCTGGCCACAACACTTTCAACCAGTCCTCCTCTGTATCATTCAGATGTTCAGTGGCAAACTTCAGACGGGCCTGGACATGTGCTTTCTTGAGCAGAGGGACCTTGCGGGCACTGCAGGATTTCAATCCTTATCGGCGTAGTGTGTAACCAATTGTTTTCTTAGTGACTGTGGTCCCAGCTGCCTGGAGATCATTGACAAGATCCTCTCATGTAGTTCTGGGATGATTCTTCACTGTTCTCATGATCATTGACACTCCACGAGGTGAGATCTTGCATGGTGCACCAGACATAGAGAGACTGACAGTTTTTTTGTGTTTCTTCCATTTGCGAACGATTGCACCTACTGTTGTCACCTTCTCACCAAGCTGCTTGGCGATAGTTTGGTAGCCCATTCCAGCCTTGTGTTGGTCTACAATCTTCTCCCTGACATCAATGGACAGCTCTTTGGTCTTTACCATGGTGGTGGACAGGTGTCTTTTATACTTGTAGCAAAATGAGATTAGCAGCACTCCCTTTAAGAGACTGCTTCTAATCTCAGCTTGTTACCTGTATGAAATACCTGGTAGCCAGAAATCCAGCTGAATGATAGGGGATCAAATACTTATTTCCCTCATGAACATGCAGATCAGTGCATAATTTGTTAGACATGCATTTCTTTTGAATTTTTTGGTGCTATTCTGTCTCAATGTTACAATACACCTACCATTCGATTTTAAGACCGATCATTTCTCTGCACATGAACTTTAATGGCATCCCAGTCTTAGCCCGTAGAGTTCAATATTGAGTTGGCCCCACCCTTTGCAGCTATAACAGCTTCAACTCTTCTGGGAAGGCCGTCCACAAGGTTTAGGAGGGTGTCTATGGGAAGGTTTGACCATTCTTCCAGAAGTGCATTTGTGAAGTCAGGCACTGATGTCTGACGAGAAGGCCTGGCTCACAGTCTGTGCTCTAATTCATCCCAAAGGTATTCTATCGGGTTGAGGTCAGGTTCTGTGCAGGCCAGTTAAGTTCCTCCACCCCAAACTCGCTCATCCATGTTTTTATGGACCTTGCTTTGCGCACTGGTGTGCAGTCATGTTGGAACAGGAAGGGGCTATCCCCAAAGTTGGGAGCATGAATTTGTCCAAAATGTTTTGGTATGCTGACGCCTTAAGAGTTCCCTTCACTGGAACTAAGGGGCCAAGCCCAACCCCTGAAAAACAACCCAACACCATAATCCCCCCTCCACCAAACTTTACACTTGGCACAATGCAGTCAGGCAAGAACCATTTTCCTGGTAACTGACAGAGAAGCGTGATTCCTCACTCCAGAGAACACGTCTCCACTGCTGTAGAGTCCAGTGGTGGCATGCTTTACACCACTGCATCCAACGCTTTGCATTGCACTTGGCGATGTAAGGCTTAGATGTAGCTGCTCAGCCATGGAAACCTATTCCATGAAGCTCTCTATGCACTGTTGCTAATCTGAAGGCCAAACAAAGTTTGGAGGTCTTTAGCTATTGACTCTGCAGACAGTTGGTGACTTTTGCACACTGTGTGCTTCAGCATGTGCTAACCCCACTCTGTCATTTTACGTGGCCTACCACTTCATGGCTGAGTTGCTGCTGTTCCCGGTTGCTTCCACTAACAGTTGACCGTGGAATATTTAGTAGCCAGGAAATGTCACGGATGGACTTACTGCCCAGGTGGCAACCTATCACGCTACCACGCTTGTATTCACTGAGCTCCTGAGAGCGACCCATTCTTTCACAAATGTTTGTAGAAGCAGTCTGCATGCCTAGGTGCTTGATTATATACACCTGTGGCCATGGAGGTGATTGGAACATCTGAATCCAATAATTTGGGCGAGTATTCCAATACTTTTGGCAATTTAATGTGTGTATATATAAATTTATTTATTTTTTTTTATAGGAAAAAAAAGCAATTCTGTTTTTACAGTGCTCTACAAAACTGTTCTTTTGTGTCGGAGTTTAGTTCTCTCTTAATTTGTTTCCTTTATTTTTACTCCTTTTTACTAGCTTTTGAACAAAATAACTAGAATGACTGCGTGTCTTATGATCTGTTCAGTTGTACTATAAATGGCATTTTATTGTTTTCCTAGCGCTCCAGGAAAGATGGAGCCAACAGATGGGAAGTCAGTGAGTGATACTTCAAGCACAACTTTTACATGTAGGCTGTGCAAGTATGAAACCCAAGATGAGACTGAAGTTCAGAAACACTTTATTTCCAAACAGCATTTGGAGGTCATTAGGCATCTCTACATCTTCCTGCCAAAACAGAGCGTGGATTTTTTACAGGTAAGAAACAAATTCTGCCTTGAAAAAGTATTCATACCCTTTTGAATTTTCCACATTTTGTCATGTTACAACCAATAATGTACCGTATTTGCCGGCGTATAAGACGACTGGGCGTATAAGACGACCCCCTACTTTTCCTGTTAAAATATAGGGTTTTGAGCTATACTCGCCGTATAAGACTACCCCTCTTCCAACGCACACCAAATAAAAAAACATCAGATTTGATTTCAATGTGGTATGCTATTTCAGTATGGTATTCCAATGATGGGACACTATTCCTCCCACTGACACCAATGATGAGGCACTACTCCTCCCACTGACACCAATGATGGGGCACTATTTCATCCACTGACACCAATGATGGGGCACTATTCCTCCCACTGATACCAATGATGGGACACTATTCCTCCCACTGACACCAATGATGGTGCCCCATCATTAGTGTCAGTGTGTGAGGAATAGTGTCCCATCATTAGTGTCAGTGTGTGAGGAATAGTGTCCCATCATTAGTGTCAGTGGGAGGAATAGTGCCCCATCATTAGTCAGTGGGAGGAATAGTGCCCCATCATTGGTGTCAGTGGGAGGAATAGTGTCCCATCATTAGTTTCAGTGGGAGGAATAGTGCTCCATCATTGGTGTCAGTGGGAGGAATAGCACCCCATCATTGGTGTCAGTGGGGAGAATAGTGCCCCATCATTGGTGTCAGTGGGAGGAATAGTGTCCCATCATTAGTGTCAGTGGGAAGAATAGTGTCCCATCATTAGTGTCAGTGGGAGGAATAGTGCCCCATCATTGGTGTCAGTGGGAGGATTAGTGCCCCATCATTGGTGTCAGTGGGAGGAATAGTGCCCCATCATTGGTGTCAGTGGGAGGAATAGTGCCCCATCATTGGTGTCAGTGGGGAGAATGGTGCCCCACCATTGGTGTCAGTGGGGAGGAGGAATAGTGCCCCATCGTTGGTGTCAGTGGGGGAGGAACAGTGCCTCATCGTTGGTGTCAGTGTGGAGGAGGAATAGTGCCCCATCATTGGTGTCAGTGGGGGAGGAACAGTGCCTCATCGTTGGTGTCAGTGTGGAGGAGGAATAGTGCCCCATCATTGGTGTCAGTGGGGAGGAACAGTGCCTCATCGTTGGTGTCAGTGTGGAGAAGGAATAGTGCCCCATCGTTAGTGTCAGTGGGGAAGAGGAGCGGCTGCTCCTTCTTTTAGTTCGGCCGCTCGATTTTCACGGGGCCGCTCGGCTCCGCCTCCTCGCCGGTGATTGGTCGCCTGTGTGCCTTTCCAGTGCTGGCGCCCAATCACCGGTGAGGAGGCGGAGCCGAGCGACCATCGAGCAGCCGAACTGAAAGAAGGAGCAGCCGCGCTTCCTGGACCGGATCGTCGTGGGACCGGAGCCGGGTAAGGTACAGCAGCCCCTCTGCCCACCCCTGTACTTAGTGTCCGTTGGAGGAGGACGGGGGGCGGCGCCGCCCCTCGAAAAAGTGCCGCCCTGACACCGGCTCGCCGTATATACCGGCGTATAAGACGACCCCCGACTTTTCAGAAGATTTTCATGGGTTGAAAAGTTGTCTTATACGCCGGAAAATACGGTAAATGTATTTTATTGGGATTTTATGTGATAGACCAACACAAAGTAGCACATAATTGTGAAGTGGAAGGAAAATGATAAATGGTTTTCAAAATTTTTTACAAATATCTGAAAAGTGTGGTGTGCATTTGTATTCAGTCCCCTTTACTCGGATACCCCTAACTAAAATCTATTGGAACCAATTGCCTTTAGAAGTCACCTAATTAATAAATAGAGTCCACCTGTGTAATTTAATCTCAGTATAAATACAGCTGTTCTATGAAGCCCTCAGAGGTTTGTTAGAGAACATTAATGAACAAATAGCATCATGAATGCCAAGGAATACACCAAACAGGTCAGGGATAAAGTTGGGGAGACGATTAAAGCAGGGTTAGCTTATAAAAAAAATATCCCAAGCTTTAAACATCTCACAGAGCACTGTTCAATCTATCATCCGAAAATGGAAAGAGTATGGCACAACTGAAAACCTACCAAGACATAGCCGTCCGCCTAAACTGACAGGCCGGGCAAGGAGATCATTAATCAGAGAAGCAGCCAAGAAGCCCATGGTAACTCTGGAGGAGTTGTAGAGATCCACAGCTCAGGTGGGAGAATTTGTCCACAGGACAACTATTAATCGTGCACTCCACAAATATGGACTTTATGGAAGAGTGGCAAGAAGAAAGTCATTGTTGAAAGAAAGCCATAAGAAGTCCTGTTTGCAGTTTGTGAGAAGCCACGTCGGGGACACAGCAAACATGTGGAAGAAGGTGCTCTGGTCAGATAAGATCAAAAATGAACTTTTTGGTGTAAAGCAAAATGCTATGTGTGGCAGAAAACTAACACTGCACACCACCCTGAACACACCATGCCCACCGTGAAACATGGTGGTGGCAGTATTATGTTGTGGGGATGCTTATCTTCAGCAGGGACAGGGAAGCTGGTCGAAGTTAATGATAAGATGGATGGAGCCAAATACAGGGCAATCTTAGAAGAAAACCTGTTAGAGTCTGCAAAAGACTTGAGACTGGGGCGGAAGTTCCCCTTCCAGCAGGACAACGGCCCTAAACATACAGCCAGAGTTACAATGGAATGGTTTAGATCAAAGCATATTCATATGTTAGAATGGCCCAGTCAAAGTCCAGACCTAAATCCAATTGAGAATCTGTGGCAAGACTTGAAAATTGCTGTTCACAGATTCTCTCCATCCAATCTGACAGAGCTTGAGCTATTTTACAGAGAAGAATGGGCAAAAATGTCCCTCTCTAGATGTGCAAAGCTGGTAGACACATCCCCAAAAAGACTTGCAGCTGTAATGGCAGTGAAAGGTGGTTCTACAAAGTATTGACTGAGTATTGGGGCTGAAATACAAATGCACGCCACACTTTTCAGATATTTATTTGTAAAAAATGTTGAAAACTATTTTTCATTTTCCTTCCACTTCACAATTATGTGCCACTTTGTGTTTGTCTATCACATAAAATCCCAATAAAATACATTTATGTTTTTGGTTGTAGCATGAGAAAATGTGGAAATTTCATGGGGTATGAATACTATTTCAAAGCACTGTACAGTGTAATAGCGACAGTTACATGTATTTCTAATGAGCAGATATTAATTACTGCTTTTACTTGGGTTATATGGCTAAATGTTGTTCAGTGTATTTTATTTCTACGGTCAAAGTGCTTGTTAATGAAGTATTTTTTTTTCCACTACTAGAGGTATCTTAATTTTGAGAAAAACAAAGTGTCCCAAGAGAGGAAGAGGGAGAATCTACAAGCTAAGAGAGACGTCTTTGAAGGTATGGCTTTTCAACATTAATGACTGTTCACTTCATCTTCGATATTTGCTTTGACGTGTTTTATTCCTCTCCACTAGTTTTTGCTATACTGTACGAGTTATGGTCCTATGCTCTTCCACATTGAACTTTTCTGGAGGTGCTGCCATGTTCACTTTGAACCTGAAAAAGAAAGATAAGTTAAAATCATAAGTAGTTGATTTTTGCAGCACCATTAAATATTGACAAATTGGCCAGTACACCCTGCAGTTTACAGCTTCCTAGCTCATTTTGTTCTGAGTAAGGCTCAATACTTATCAGCACCCCCTCGTATACATTGTATCTGGAGCAGTAACTTATGAAATTGGTTCAGGAAACAGGAAACACATTAAAATAAATGAGATTTTAGCAAAAAAAAAACAAAAACACTTTATTAGCAGGGTGGTGGCAGGATAGGAGTCTCTCTTATAGATTTTTATTGTTGTCTATGTCCCTTGATTTCCCTCATTTCTTGTCAACATTGTCACCAGGACAGAAAGTCACGGGAGATCTTTCCAATGGAACTCAGGAACAATTGATTTGGTTTACAACACCCCTACTCTGTTTGTTTGTTTTTTTTTTATATGTACATAGTTTTTATTTAAGATCTTTGAGAGCCATTCACAATATTGTGTTGTGGATGCATGAACATCTGCTACAGTGCATCAGGAAAAAAGGTCATGCACCATTTTTGGTTTTGTTGGTAGCCCATCCATTTTTGATGAGTTGCCCTAATGCAACGCAAGTTAGCAAACTGCATTACACATGGCAATACCCCCCCCCAATGGTGTGAATCAACAAGTGATATCTGGCTCCTAAAATCAAGATGTGGCATGGCTACAATAGTTGTACATTCACACAGGCTATCCCAACGTCAGTCTATCATGAATGCTGCTGCCAGAGACATCAAATTTACCAACCATTAAGTATCCATTGTTCCTCTCTGCTAATCCATCCAGTGGCTTCCGTTTGCTTAGCAGCTGAGCCCTGTCTTTGCCGCCCATCCGTATACTGACATTACAGCTTGACAGGACTGTCCACATGCTGTGACATTTTTTACTGGACTGCCTATCAAACTCACCCACTGTGATCGATGGGGCCGAAATTGTGTGCCAAACGCTTGGATCACTGTTGCAACACTTTCCCGCATTGTAAAATTGCTGTTTGCCAATTAAAAAATTAAACCAATAGGCATCAGTATGTGTCAGTAGTATTGGGGGCAAAAAAGAACAAATGCATTTTGAATGAAATAGACCGTATTCTTTAATACCATGAGTCACTAACACAGAGAATGTATACAGATAAGGACTTCTGACATTATTCTTTCTGACTTTCCTCGTTTACATACCTGTTCTAGCCTGTGGATTTAGAAAACACTAGTGCCAGAGCTTCAGCATAACAGCCAGTCTAATTTAAAGTATATCTATACAAAAGAACACATATGTATTATATTGCTGCTTGCCAGCGGTTTAGTGTTTATTCTTTTTTTTTCAGGCCAAGTATATTTCCTGCAACTAAGAAAACTAGAAAACTATTTATCTTCATACAAAATCCTGATACATAACCAGTGTCCTTTGTAACTTTTTTTGCCATGAACTAAAATCTCAAAACAATTTTATTAGCTTTTCCAGCTTTCTATGAACAGACCATCTCCTTGTTGATGGTGCTTTTACAGTCAAAATCAGGAGGAGAGCAACCTAGGGTGACAAAGAGTCACCCTAGGATGGGAATTGAGTTCCTAGCAGGATCATTAGGTGAAAATAAAAAGATAACTTAATACAGTCTCCACATCTAAGGCCTGGTAAACTGCAATGTATCACAATTTTGGTTTTGGGTTTAAATACACTCTAAGTGAATATGAAGTTACATTTTACTAAAGAATAGTCTTTTTATTTTCCAATATGAGCTAAAAATATAAAAAAAAAGGACTGACGGTTTCTATTGGTGACACTGACGTTCTTTTAAACATTCTGAAGATTGTGTCTGTCTTGTTTTTTCAGGTATTGGGCAGGAACATTTTTTCCACCGCATTGAAGCGGCTCACTGTTTGGCATGTGATACCCTTATCCCTGATGTCCCAGAACTTCTAATCGAACATACAAAGTCAGAGAGTCATACTCAAAAATGCAAGGTGAGAAGAATCTTTTGTTCTACAATAATAATACATGCATGTACTTCACATGCAGGTTATTCTGAAATCACTGTTATGCCTCTTTTTGCTAATGCAATTTTAAGTCTCCCTGTTTTCACAATAACAGTATGTGATTTTTACATGACTTTTACAGACGTCATCCAAGGAAATCAAGAGCAATTGCCTGGCAATGGCAAAGGCAATGCTACAGGATGAAAATGTCTTGAGAACGCTCAAAGTGTACAATAAGGTGAGGAGGACCTCTTCTGAATAACCACTGTCTGATAGAAAGATGTAGTAGATTCAGGCACACAATGATCTATCATTGCAAAAGATTTTTATTGTGTGTGTGTGTGTATATATATATTCAGGTTCATAAATATTGGGACATCGACACAATTCTAACATTTTTCAAGCATTTCTTTTCATTTTGATGATTATTGCTTACAGCTAGTGAAAATCCAAAATTCAGATACTCTAGTCTATATTATTTAATCTGTAGGAAAGTTTTTCTTTTACAAAGAGCTTTATTGAATATTAAGCAAAGATAAACAAACATTCGGAACATAGATGCAATGACCAACAATTAGAAATTGTAGTGGGTGAGGGGAAGCTAATACAAGGCATGCACTGGAAAAGGCATAAGCTGAAAAGTTTACATAGGTGCCCTGTAGGAAAAGATGGGGGAAGGGGTTGGGAAAGGACGATTAACAAACCTTTGTGGGTCAATGATAATATAAAACTCTAAGGGGGAGTTTTGCTACATCAACATTATAGAGAACGGGAGAGGCACGAGAAGAGGCCTTCTCCAAAAGATGATACATGTTCAAAACCTAGAGATTACAAAGAAATCCAGATTGCATTGGTAGTATAGCAGATGTAGCGCAAGCACTATCCGAAAAATATGTTTAAGGACAGATTTGACAGGAGGTTAGGAAAAGACAAACATTAGAGAGACACGGACAACAACAACACCAAAAAAAAAAAAAGGGGGGGGGGGGGGGGGGCTCCGAGGCGATCACAGCGAAATCCATCCTCATATCGACAGAAGGGACTGGTCAAATCTCGAAGGTTGAGATATATCCAGCCAGGGACGCCATATCTGCAGAAATTTTGTATGGGTATCCAACAATATGGCCGTCAGTTTTTCATTAACCATTATGAAGTTCATTCGGTTTTTGACAGCCTCAAAACTAAGGAGAGGAGTTTTCCAAGCTCTCGCAATTGTCAATTTAGTTGCCATAAATAAAAATGATGCCAGCTGCCGTTAAGAACGGAGGAGGCCCTCCAGCGGTTTAAATAGAAGCGCTTCATACGGGTTACGCTTAATGTCTGCGTGAAGGATAGTGCGGAGGAGGGCATACACTCTGATCCATAATCTACTTACTTTAGGGCAAGTCCATCAGATATGAGCCATAGTACCCAATTGTTGGCATCCCCGAAAACAGACCGGGGAATATGTAGGGATAAAACTAGCTAGACGAGCAGGCGTATAATACCATCGGTATAGAATTTTGTAGGCATTCTCAAGAATAATGACATTCCTAGAACATTTAGATAGTGCTTGGGTCATGTTCTGCCAGTCCTGTTGATCCAAGGTCCCCCCTAATTCAGACTGCCAACGCTGATGATAGGAGCGAACTGGAGGGGTTCTATAAGATATAATGGAAGAATAAATCAAGGAAATCAAACCCGGAGCATGAGGTCTATGTCTGCACTGGCTTTCAAAGGGGGACAGACGGTAAGGTCCCGGATGCGTGCGTATTAGTGTATTAATAAAGTGACGAAGTTGAAGATAACCAAAATGTTCTCGGAGAGGGATGTTATAAGAAGAACGCAGAGCGTCAAAGGTAATTATTCTAGTGGGAGATAGGAGTGAGTGAACATCATAAAAACCATGCGTCTGCCACCAGGCAAACTGTCTAGGATTATCCCTACCCGGAGGGAATAATGGGTTATGCAATAGACGTAACAGCGGCAGGTGAGGAGAGATAAGGCCAGCTGAATATTTGATAGAATCCCAGAGACGTAGCGAAAGCGTCAGCGTTGGACTAAGGGTAGATGGACTTTGAGAGATAGGAAGCCATGGCAAGGAGGAGAGCGGTATCGGGTGAGAGTCCATCATATCTACAACAGCCCACAGGGGGAAGTGGTGAGATGCGTGAACATGAGCTAAGGGGGCAATGTTAGCTGCCAAATAGTAAGACTGGAGATTTGGAACAGATAACCCGCCCATACTCCGTCGTGCGAATAAGATATGTTTGCTAATTCTGGGTCGAGAAGAGCTCCAAATAAAGGACAAAAGTTTTCGCTGATGAATACGCAATATATGCGAAGGTACTGGAACTGGCAAGAGACACGAAATAGATACAGTAGTTTAGGAAGATAGGTCATACGGATTGCGTTAATTCTGCCGAACCATGAAAGCGGGAAATGAGACCAAGAGGACAATAGCTCTGTCAACTCGTGAAAGACAGTGGGAAAGTTAGCCTGATACAGTCCGCATATGTCGGGGTAAGCTTAATTCCTAGATATGGTAAGGCCGAAAGCCATTGAAAAGGGAACGTTTGCTTCAAAGTGGTCAAGAGTGATGGTGGGAGGGTAACTGACATAGCTCTTGATTTAGCTGGGTTGACATGTAAGCCTGAAAGGGTTGCAAAGGAATCGAGAACCACGAGCAAATTGGGCAAAGTAACCCCCGGGTTCGAGATTGACAATAATATGTCATCTGCAAACAAAGACAATTTATGTTGGGAGCCTGCCACATCAATCCCCTTAATATCAGGATGTAAACGAATGGCTTCTGCCAATGGTTCCAAGGCTAGGATAAAAAGTAAAGGGGAAAGTGGGCAGCCTTGTCTAGTGCCTCTGGCAACCAAGAACGTAGAGGACTCAAATCCATAATATTTAAGCTTCGCTTGAGGGGATGTGTATAGCGAAGAGATCCATCATAGGAAGGAAGGACCAAAGCCAAAGCGGTGAAGGACCGATAGGAGATACGGCCAGGATAGAGTGTTGAAGGCCTTATTGATGTCTAAGGATAAGAGCATCATATCGAATTTATGAGTATGGGCCAAATGTTGCAATTGTAAAATACGTCTGATAGCATCTCTGGCCTGCCTGTGGGGAACAAATCCCACCTGGTCCTTTTTGATTAGGCGAGAAAGGAAGGAATTCAGTCGAGTAGCCAAGATCTTAGTAAGAATCTTCATGTCGATATTGATAAGAGAGGTAGACCTATAGTTTGCCCAAGAAGAGTGATCTCGATCTGGTTTAGGGATCATAACCACATTTGCAGTTAACGAGTCCGGGGCAAAATTCGAACCTCCCTTCACCGCGTTAAACATAGCGGCAAGGTGAGGAGCAAGTACATCAGCTAATTTCTTATAGTATAGTGCCGTATATCCATCGGGACCAGGGCGTTTGCCCGTTTTCAGGTCTGCTATGCATTGCAAAACCTCAGATACTTGGATATTACGATCCATCAAATCCTTATGGGCTGACGTTAAAGTAGGCGGGGGGCAGACAAGATATAAAGTCAGAAATGGACTGAGGGTCGGCCCGGGTGGGATCAGAGTAAATTTTAGCTAGTCGGTGCCGGAACTCTTCTAAAACCGCTACAGGGTTGCTCGTAAGGGTATTGTGATGAGTACGTAAAGATATCGGTTTAGGATGCTGCGCAAAAGAACGCAATCTACGGGCCAACATAGTCTGGTTTGTTTGCTTTGCTATACCACTTCTGGCGAGTCCATCGTAAAGAGCGCTCAGCCTCATCTGTTAAGCAAAGATCCAATTCTAAACGAGCCTGATCCAACAGTCTACGGTTCGACGGGGAAGGTGATTGTTTAAATTGGGCCGACGCAGAAGCTAACTTCGATTCAAACTGACACTGTTTAAGCTGTCTTTCCTTCTTTCGCCTTGAAGCTATTTGGATAATATGTCCCCTAAGAACCGCCTTGTACGCTTCCCACAATGTTACTGAAGAAGAGACAGAACCCAAGTTCAATTGGAAATATTCCTGAGACTTACGATGTAGTTCCGCCTGGATCTCCTTTAACGAAAGCAAGGAGTCATTCATTATCCACGAAGAGAAGGTCGGCCTACATAGGAGAGATCGACAGACCACCAAGATAGGCTCATGATCTGACCATGGGACCGTTAAGATAGAAATAGAGCGAACTAAAGGGAGGTGTTTACGTGAAACGAAGGCATGATCAATTCTGGAATGCGAATGATGAGGGTGTGAATGAGTGTAGTCTTTCCCCCGAGGATGAAATTCACGCCATAAATCTACCAGATCATGAGAATTTAACGTACGTGCAAAGGACTTCGCTGATGCGGAAGGGCCAGAGCACTCCGCTGGATATTTATCCAATGCAGGATTTAGCACTAAGTTTGAATCCCCTGCCATCAAAAGCGTACCCCTTTGATGTGTAGCCAGGAGAGAGCATAGGTGCGACAGAAAAGGTCCAGGATTAACGTTGGGAGCGTAGTAGGACATTATGGTAACATCTATGCCATGGATCGTGCCCTGGAGCAGGAGGTATCTGCCATTGGGATCAGCAATACGCCTCACACAGACGAATGGAGTTTTACTATGGAAGGCGACCAATACGCCTCTCTGTTTAGTGGGGCCAGTAGCTTGAAATATCTGAGGGTAACGTGCATCAAAATATTTTGGGGCAGAGGTAGTGGAGAAGTGAGTTTCTTGCAAACAAGCAATGTCAACTTGGCGAGCCCGGAGAAACTTAAATATCTTTACCCGTTTCTGCGGAGAGTTCATCCCCTGGACATTCAGTGATAACCATTGGAGTACAACAGCACTAAGTGTCTAGTAATTATTCAAATAAATGAGTGTATGGATTATAAAGATAATTAGTTAAGCTGCTAGCATAGAAAGTAAACCTCAAAAAACTTCGGATAATATGTCATAAAATATGCAGCGCTCATAAACAGGTCTCAAAAACCACAGAAACCTGATAACATACAATTGTTCTAAATTAAGTATACCATTGAATATAAAGCATATATAACTCGTGACTTCTGTGGTGCATCCACGGTTGGAGAACCGGAAAAAAGTTCGTGACTCTTGTGTTGGACAAGCTGAAAGAAGTTTGCACTAACCAGATATCTCAGCACATGGAGCATGGAGTAATTAAGACCTACTCCTGGTACTCTGAAAGGAAGCCACTGGAAGGGATGATGTCATCTGATATCTCGCCACTAGATGTCATGTTCCCAGGACAGCAG